CATGCAAATTAAAAAAATACTCAATTAAAATAATATAAGTATATTTAATAATTTGAATCTTTTAATCTGTTTATAATAAACGTTAGTAAAAATTTGTTCATTAAAAATTAAGTTTCTTAACTTATAAATAAACTCAAAAGTATTTTCATTCTACGTATATTAACAAAACTCTTTTTTTTTTTTCGTTTGTAAGCAATTTAACTTGGAATAATAAAATAAAAAAAGAATAAATATGAGATCATCTTTGATAAGAACAAATTTAATTTATATATTGAATTATATTTTTATTTTTATTTATATACCAACTTAAATAAAATATAGTAACATGTTAAAATATTTTAACATGACTTGTGTCATTTATAAACCGTAGGGCAGCTGCCCTTACGGCACCATTGGTTTTGGATAATATTTTATTTTGATGAAGATCACATAACTTACATTTGATTTTAATAACCTAAGTCTTCTCTTTTTCTGTGATAGTTTCAATTAGAAAAACATCGGCAAAGTTCCAGGATTTAAAAGTTTTCAAAGTAAATCTTTTGTCCTTCAAAATACAATCTATATTCGAACTTTAAACAATTTGGAGAGAATAGAAATATACTAGGTTTTTATATACTAGTTTGTCTTATTTAATACATAGTCATTAGTAAAGAATAGAGACTGTCATTTAACTAAAACGTGCCTTAGTATTTATTTAATGGAGTCTGTAATGTGCACGTGCATAATGAAACCTCCGTTATATAAATATATTCAACGTAATATTATTGTCATCAGCGGATGTTATAGTCTACTCATGATTTCTTTACCTTATAATATAACTTGATTTATGGAAAAAAAAACTTATTGAATCGCACAGTGAAGAAATTTAACAAATTGTCTTCATTCAAAAATTGTGAGTAACAGGTAATTTTTTTTTTCTGTGCCGGCCATCTCCCCCCGCAAACTTAAAAGTAAAGGTATCTATATACCTTTAACTAATAAGAAAAGCAAATAGTAATAACTAATGAAGCATTTTTGTTATCATAATAACAAAAATATAAAAACATTTTTTGAGATATTAAAAAAAATGTCAATCCTTAATTACAAATTTTTTGCAAACGTTTTTCAACATAAATTCAGTAAAAAACTCTTAAAAAATCTATATTACAAAAAACATTGTAATATAGATTTTAATAAATTCTAATAATAATACATATTCTGTATTAATAAATTTGGAATATAGATTTTTTTTTAAAGTTTTTTACTGAAAACTTTAAAAAATTACTACTTTTTATTAAAAACGTTTGCAAAAAATTTGTAGTTTGAGGATTGACGAACAATTTTTCATGTTACTAAATATTTAAATAAAAAGTTTAGCGTAATACCAATTGTTATAAAAAGGTAAGATATGTCGCGATGAAAAGTTACTATAATTATTTTTAACATAACTTCTTTTTTGTAATAAATATTTTTACATATGGTTATTGAAAAGTTAATGCAGTTTTTTTTAAATTAAGTACTTCTTTTATGTTACCGCTAATTTAAAAGTTAAAAAATGATAAAAAGTAGCTTAACCAAAACAGCTCTACGTGTATGTAAAAATCACTTAAGGTGTACGTAAATTGTTCTAGGTGTAACGCTTTAAAACAAGGCCTGTATTTCTAATATTGCAAAAAATGTTTTGCTGTTAGTACTGAAACTTTATTAAAAGAGTTCTTTAAGCTTTTCAGAAATAAAAAAACCCATAGCCAATATGCAATGCCCACTCGTCTTAACATCTTAACATTTTAAACCTTAATAATTTGGCTAAACATTTTTCTTCAGATGAATTTGGCTCAACATATTTCTTCTGATGAATTGGTTTCTTCAAATATGCTCAAATTATTCAAAACATTTTAAAATAATAACAGACTAAAAAAAATGTAATAAAACTAAAATTACTATTGTATTATATATAAAATTAATTTAATTGCTTTTAAGCAAGGTTTTTTTCCCATCCTGAAAATCTAAGCCACCTAATTTTTTTTTTTAAGATGTTAAAATCTTCTTCAGCTATTCTAATTGGTTATATATTGCACAATCATACAACTATACAACTCGTTAATATTTGCACAATTATACAAGAATAAAATTGGTTATATTTGCATACAAGTTATATTTGCACAAGTTTTGGTTGTTATTTTACTCAGTAACAAACATTTCAAATAAATCTTGCTTACTGAGTTGCACTAACTAAATTAAAGACATAAATATTTGTTAATCTATTTTAAATAAACTAAAACTTGTAATTTAATTTCAAGTTTCATTAAAATCTATTTTGGAGTAGAAAAAAATAATATAAGCAAAAAAACTTACTAGAAAGGTTTTTGAAAGTAAAAAGTAAATTTTAACTAAAACTAATAAAGAGCAGTGACTCTTTAACTAAACAATTTATAATGCTAAAATTGAAAAAAGGAAATTTTCAACAGGCAAAGCACAGGAACAAAGTGCAAAAACAGAGCCGGAGGCTCATGGTTTGAGTACACACTGAGACTGATATAGGGAGAACATTCCAAAGAGTGCTGTTACATTGACTGAGCATTTGGGTTAGGAAAACAATATGGTTAAGGTTAGGAAAAAATTTTACACACTTTATTTAAGCATTTTACCTGTTAAAAATATCTGCATTTCACCAATGCCCATTTTTAATAACACAAGACTTATGTTATTTACAACATTTATTTTTTTTTTTTTTTATATGATTTTTCGCTGTGTTAAAACATAAAACTTGCAAATATATATTTTGTTATATTTCATACTTCAAAATATAAATTCTTAACAAATAAATCTGTTAGATCTAATATTACACATGATAACTGTTTAACACCATGTGGTATTATGTATTATTAGTAAGCGACTGTGGTTGATATTTGACTGGGCCCGGGGTCGGGTTTGATAAATTATAGACGGGGTCAGGTTTGTGACTAGGGCTGCATAAACATTAATAATCCTAAAGTATATTTTTATATTCAAAGTTCATGTTATATTTTGTATATATATGCATATATAAACATCATTATGATCAACATGATCACCATAATCATCATTACCATCATCATCATCATCATCATCATCATCACTATCATCTTCTCTTTTGGCAAATACTAAACCATATAAATACTAAAGTTTATGTTATATATATAATATGAAGGATATTGTATTGCCAGCATCTAAATAAATAGCAAACATATATGTTTATACCCATAATATGCATGCATAAAGCGCATCTCGGAGGCTTTTATTCCTTATGGACAAAAGTTTAGAAGCTTTTATTCCTACTCTTCAGTTTTAAGTCAAGCCTCATTCTACTCCTCATTTTTCACCACCTTGAGCAGTTGCTTTATTAATCATTTATTTCATCTTTTGTACAAGAACATCTCTCCTAAGAACAAACGTCCTTTTATTATTCCAAGAAGCCAATGTAAAAAGGTCCTGTCTGATGTTAAGCTCTGTTATTCTCAGTTTACTAAATCTTGTATCTTATATTAGATGTTAGGTTCTAGAGACTTTTGGTTAGTCTTCAACAATGTCATTAACTAAAGTAAATCTAACATTTAACCTCTAATTCATGGGTCTGATCCTTTAACTTTTCCCCTGAATAAAGGAGAGTTGTTTGTAAAGAATTCTTACTCTAATTTGACACTTGAATCTAATGGCCATACTCTTCCTACAAATTAAACAGATTAACCCATTGTTAAAAATCCAAATCACTCTGGCTTCCAATGCTAAAGTTAATTCTCAATTGAACACTTCGACAGCTTGTGCTTTAGACAAGATTTCCATCATAGTCTTAAAGAAGTGTCCTCCAGAATTCTTTTCAATTTTTGATAAATTTTAAAAAATGCTAATTATGGGGTTCCAATTTTTCAAAACTCTAGAAAACACTTTGACCTCTCCAACTATCCTACAATTCACTCTTTTATTAGTTTCTTTATATAAAGGTTTTAAGATTATTATATTATTTCTTTCTAACTAACATTATTAAAGTTATTTTTGAAGGCCTGCACTCTTCTTTATATCAAGTAACTTTAAGGGTACCACAAGATTCTATCTTTGTTCCTGTATTGTTTCTTACCTACAATATCGATCTTCATGAAAATTTTACATCTAAAAAGACTCTATTTGCTGACGACTCAACTTTATGCTCTTGTCTTGACAAAAATCTTCACTTTTTAATTGTTTAGAACAAGCAGCTGATTTTGAATCTGATCTCTCTTCTGTAACAGAGATTTTTGTAACACTCTTCTGTAATTAGACCTGCTTTATCTGCCAAATTTGAGCCACTCTCCCATTGTTGTAAGGTTGCATTTCTTTCTTTTTTTCTAGAAATAGCATCATGGTCAATACTCAAACGAGCTATCATCTCTATTACAATAAACCAAAACTCATTTTTGCTTGTTTCTTATTCAACAAGTTGCATCCTTTTACTGAATCTGTCCCTTCATGCTATAAAAACTTTTATTAACCCAGTTTTTTTCCTTGCGCATCAAAGAAACAATATAACTCTTAACTATTATCATTTTTTTACTTTTATATACAACTAACAACTTTTTAAGTCTTCAGTTAACCATTTCCTAGTATTTTTACTTATTTTCTATTTATAGTAACTTTTAATTGTGGTTCCTTGCAATCTTGTTGAAAGTAAATTAGAGTTTGAAAATATATAAATATATGCCAATATTTAATAAATAAATGAAAACATAAAATAAAAATATATATAATATTATAAATTTTTTTCTAGCTATGTTTATCAACCCCTGCTAAATCTTAGCAGGGGTTGATAGCCGGGTTTGAAAAAAGTCTCATTTTTAGCCAGGGACAGAGCTGGGGCCGGGGCCCCAGTCACTTACTATGTATCATATTCAAGCAATTTAGCTAGTTAAAAATTAGATTTCTTATAAAATCATTAAAATAAAATAAAACTATTAAAATTTTAATTTTAACTTTAAAGAACCATAAAGAGTAAAAATTTTTAAAATTACCCATAATGATATGGAGTTTTGCTTCTGTTTGAAAAGCATAATGCATTGTAACTATAAATGGACACCTTCGAACAGCCTCAAGCACATTTCGCTCAGTAATTGTATGCTCAGTTGTTTTTGCTTTTGCAACAACAGCTGACTTTTTCAATACCTTCATAGCAAATAATTTTCCATTGCCATTTCCACCTTTGCGACGAACCAAAAATACTTTTCCATAAGCTAATGGTTTAAAAAAAAATTATTAAAATAGTAATACTTAATTATTAGTTCCAATGGTGTGTGTGTGTATATATATATATATATATATATATATATATATATATATATATATATATACAGCCCTCAGAATTAGGGTCGGCATTCGGCAATAAAGACCTTAAAGTGTTTGAAGTCGGGATTGCCAAAAAATCGCCAACCTTGTTTCTATATTTTATTCTAACCTCTTTGTGTCAAAATTTTTTTGCCAACCTGATGCCAATGTATAACAATTTTCCTAATTTTGAGGGACCAAAAATAAGTTATTGTCACTTTTTTAATTGCGTTTGAAATAAATTACTTCAAAACTTATCTTTTGAAACATTTTATTAAATGAATCCCAAACCTTTAATACATATTGTGTTCATATTAGAGAGAATGATTGAAAAAATGTTTGGACTATATTTTTTTGATTAAAACAAAAAAATAAATGCATACCAAGAAAAACTTTTTATTTTAGTCGAAGCTTGCCTTCTCTGTTTTTTTGTATGCTAAAAAAGTCTTCATAATATACGCCGAAATCTACAGACTTAATAAATTATTCAAGTGCGCTTTATTTCTAAGAGTTTCAATACATGATGTCATTGATTTTTGTTTTCATAATCGATCTTTTAAACAAAACAAAAAAAATCAATGACGTCCTGAATTAAAACTCTTAGGAACAAAACAAGCTTGAATAAATTTTCTGTAAATTGTGGTGTATATTATAAAGACTATTTGGCCTACGACAAAACAGAGAAGGCGAGCTTTAACTAAAATAAAAAAGTTAGTTTTTTTTAGTATGCATTTATTTTTTTGTTTTAATCAATAAAATTTAGCCCAAACATTTTTTTATCATTCTCTTTAATATGAACACAACATGTCTGGGAGGTTTGGGATCCCCCTTTAAAGTTAAGCAAAACACATTTTCAAATTACCTCTAATTATTGTTTAATGAATAAACATTTAATGAATGTTTAATGAAAATTTAAAAAATGTTTAATGAATAAACATTTTTTAAATTATTAAAATGTGTTATATATATTATTTTTAGCTGTGACCAAAACAAAAAATTGTAACTAACTTAACTAAAAAACCTTAATTAAAATTAGTCGACTAACATTTTAGTCGAACTAAAATTAGTCGACTAACATTTTAGTCGAACTAAAATTAGTCGACTAACTTTTTAGTCTAACTAAGTCACAAAATATAAAGAGGCAATTTTATAATAATAATTATTATTATTATAAAAAAACAGTTATTATAAATACTTCTATTGTTGTCTTCCCTTGTGATTAAGCAGTAATATTTTTGTGAACGAAAAAAAAAAAAAAACAAGAACGAAAAATTAAAGCCTTTCGTTATGAAGATTAAAAATGAGAACCAAATTAATTTTAAGAACAAAAACTGAATAAAAATAGTAATAATTAAAAAAATTGAACTATTAGATATATAATTATTATAATATATAAATCATTCATGGAAAATTTGCATATATTATTCGTACTGAGTAAAAACTAAATAAAAATTATTATGAAACAAAAATATGAATCATCTTAATTTGAAATTGGAACTTGATTCTCGTTATTTTATTATTTTAAATTTCAAAAAAAAGCAGTTTAGAATCTTTTAGCGTTTTTTCAATTTATAACAAAAATGATTTACAAATTACAAAACTTTTTAACTGAAATCAATTTTTTAGAAATTGGCCATACCATATTATTTAAAGGAATGTTTAATGCAGAATTTGTTTCAGATTTCCTTTAAATAACATCTCTAATCATTGATAATGATAAAGAGGTAGTGCATAATTTAATTTAGTTCTACATACATAAAAGCACAGATATTAAAGTTTTAAATTGCTTTTAACCCAGTTATTCTGCTAATTATTAACAAATTAATTATTATTTAACTTGGTAAAATAAAATTTGGGGCAATATTAAATAAATAAACAAAAGATTTTTCTTAATTAATTTAATTTACTATATTGTCACAATTTATACTAAGTTTAATCAATTTTTTAATTAGAAAGTAATGGTATCCTTATATATACTAGATAAATAGTTAATGTAAACAATATGATATTGTATATTTTTGGATGGTATTGGATATCAGATATTATCTGAAAATTTATTTGAAATAAATGTAACTTTAAATTATGCCTAACAAAAATACATTTTCTTCAGTTAAACATGCCGCTCCAATATTTGATTTAAAGAAAAGGTTGGAAAAAAGAAAGAATATAGATGAACAAACCTTTTTAAATGACGTTGATAACAAAACCATTTATAATTTTTTATCTGGTCAAATGGAAAATGAAAATGATACACAGGAGATTAAAGAAGCAACAAAAATTACATACAATTATTACTCAATTGAATTAGAAAGTCTAAAATGGATATGTAATGAATGCAATACGAACAGATCTAAATAGTACTTAAATAAAACATCAAAGAGTATATTAGATTACCAACTTGAACACGATCACCATATAATAATTCCAAAAAAAAAAGAACTACAAGTGCTATCTCAAAAGGAAATAGCAATAAGATTGATAGAAGTCTTTTAATTTTCATTATTACCTGTTGCCTTCTGTTTGTGTTAGTAGAAAGTAATGCATTTAAAGAATTTGCCTTGTGTTTAAATAAAAAATACAAATTGCCTTGCCAAAAAAAGTTAAGATCTCTTTTAACTAATTTATATCAAGAAAAAGTTGAATTTTTAAAGTTGAACTTATTATCAATCAAAGTTTTATCTATTACTACTGATAAATAGACATCGTGTCAAAATTGTACATATTTGCAACAGCACATTTTATTTCTGAAAAAAAAAACTTCATCAGTTTTTGTTTGGGCTTTGCATACTTTAATGGCCGCCATGACATAGTTAATTTGAAATAGGCTTTGCTAAAAATATTAGAAAATTTTAAAGTGGATAATAAAATAATCAGTGTATCAATATCAGACAATGCCAATAACGTACGCAATTGTAAAAAATCTTTAAAAGATTGTTTAAACATTCAACCAATAAGATGTATGGGGCATGTATTGCAATTAATAGTTTAAAATATCATAGATTTAGTTAAAGGCGAAAAAGATAGTTTATCTAAATTCTTTTACGTTGCAAAAACATTAACCAAGTACAGAAAAATTATTACATCTTTCAATCATTCTTCTCAACTTAATTATTTATTATAAGAAAGTCAAATGCGACAGTGTCAAAAAAAATCACATTGTTTATTTGATTCAAGATGTTAAAACTATATATATATATATATATATATATATATATATATATATATATATATATATATATATATATATATATATATATATATATATATATATATATATATATATATATATATATATATATATATATATATATATATATATATATATATATATATATAGTTATATATATATATATAGTTATATATTATATATATATATATATATATATATATATATATATATATATATATACATATATATATATATGTATGTATATATAATAATAATAATCTTAATATTGCGGTAATCTTAATATTATTGCAGTAACGAGTTTATTACCGCAAAACGAGTTAAATATTGTTTAATTGATTTTTTATTAATACAAAATGTTTATTTCTTTCATTTTTTTTTTATATTAAAAAATTAAATTTTATATTAAATTGAAAAAAAAAATTTTTAAGTAAAAAATTATTTTCCTCAACATTTGTATAAATGAATTAAAATATGTTACTTCATAAAAAAAATTTAACATATTTTTAAATCATTAAAAAAAGTTTATTTGCACATTTTTTTTAATCATTAAAAAAAAATTGCAAGTAAAAAAAAAAATTTATTTAAAAGAAAATTAGCGTGTAACATAAAAAAATTACATAAATTTATCTACTTTTATTTATTAAAAGTTTATTATTTCATAAACAATTTTGTTGTGAAAGCAAAGATTATTTTTCCAAACAACATTTATTAAAAAATAATCACTGCGATTTAACTTGCCATACATTAAAAAAAAAATTTTAACTTACATTTTGTGCAAAATTTTGATGCAGCCATTTATGGGATAAAAATGAGCTAATTTTCTTTTAAAAACAAATTAAATTCAAATATTGAATAATATTTAGTAATATTAAAAAAAAAATTATGACAGTTAAGTTAAACCCAAGCATTGACTTTAATTTAAATAAACTTAAATGTTTTTTAAATCAAAATTTAATTATATATTTTTTAAATCTAAATTAAATTAATTTTTTTTTTATCAGAATAAAATTATATATTTTTGTTAAATTAGTTTTGAACTAAATCATTTATTTTTTATTAGAAATAAATTACATTATAATGATCTTTGCTTTGAGCTTAAAGCATTAGCATTTTTCAAGCAAAAAAATTGATCATTACAAAACAAAAAAAAATTAAGTAGAAATATTTATTACTATAGAATAGAAATTTTTTTAATGCAATCTAAAGTTGCATAAACAATTCTTGTCCTCTCAAGATGATATATAAAAGTTTTTATTATATATATTTCTTTTATGTTTTTTTTTATTTTTTTAATAACTTCGCATAAAAAAATAAAAATATTCGTGACTATAAACAATTTTGTTTTCTGTTTAATAAAATAATTAGCTTAATAGAGATTAAGTTTTTGTAGTTTACATTAGTAAATAGCGCTTTTAGTTTTTTTCATTAGTAAATAGCGCTTACATCTAACATAATAGTCATTCAAACTTTTTTAAATAATCGTCAAAGTGGTTTTTTATAAAATTATTTACTTCTTTTATCTTACCGCTTAATAGAGTAATTTAAAAGTTAAAAAAATATCAAAAGTTACTTCATGCAAATAGCTCTAGGCGTATGCAACTCGTACGTAAATTACCGGCAGCCTAACGCTTTAAAACAAGCTCTGATATATATATATATATATATATATATATATATATATATATATATATATATATATATATATATATATATATATATATATATACAGACATGTTCAAATTATTAGACTATAGATTTAAGAAAATTATTTTCCGTGATTGAGTTCAAATATCTATTACATTTTCACAAGATCACAGTTAAAAGATTTTAAGTATAAAATATGACATTTTTCTAATGTTTTTACATACTTTTTATATTTGGCAACGTCACTTTTTTTTTGTTAGAGCGTTTTCAATATTGGGAGGCAAGTCAGCGCATGTTTTTTTTCCTTTAGTAGCAAAACGTTGCAGCAGTTGTTTAGGTGTCATTTTAAAGTAACTTTAATTACTTTTAATTTATTTTCTTTACAAAATTACTTTATGTATAAAAACTTAATTCGAATTTACTAATAAATTGTTTTTGTTTAGGAATTGTACAGTAAAACTGGTGAAATTATTTTATTTTAACAATGGGCAAAAAAAATGATATTTCCCCCAAAAAATATTCTGCTGTAAAAACTTTGTTGGGTGAAAAGGTTTACACACAAACTCAAATAGCTTTAAAAGTTGGTGTAAGTCAGAAAACAGTAAGCAGAATAAAAAAATGTGTTGATAATCAAGAGCCATATGAGCACCACAGAATAGGGAATTGTGGTCGTAAAAGAAAAAAAACCCCAAGGACACAAAGAAATCTGGTTAAAATGGCACTTAATAACAGAAGAGCCACATCTAAGGTGTTGTGTCAACAACTTAATGAAGCAGGAGTCGATGTTTCTCCAGTTACTGTTCGGAGAAGGCTTTTTGAAAGTGGTTTAAAAAGTCGTCGTCCACGAAAAAAACAAAAGGTTACACCAGTGATGGCTAAAAAGAGGCTAGAATGGGCTAAAATTCATGAAAACATGTCTATCTATGACTGGAGTAAGGTCAAAATGTATGCAAAAATTGTATTCAAAGTCATTTTGAGAGTTTTCACTTAACATTTGATATCAAAATTTATTTTAAATATGAAGATGAGTTCTAAAAAAATTTAGGCAATTTTTTTTTCTAAAGAATCTCTCAAATTTTATCTGTAATTTTTTGCAAAGTGTTTCTGTGTACTCATTTGTATATTTATTATATCCAGGTATGTTTTAGCGATGAATCCATCTTTTTGGTGGTGGAAGAACAGAGCCAATATGTTCGAAGAAGACCAGGAGAAGAGTTCAAGGCAGAGTGTGTTAGCCAGAGTGTCAAGCATCCAACGTCTGTTATGGTGTGGAGTGTCATGTCAATACACGGACCGGGAATGTTGTACATCGTAGAAGGCACCATGAATCATGTACAATATATCAAAGTGCTACAAAATAGGTTAATGCCCCAAATTAAGACATGGTTTCCAGAGGGAGATGTAATTTTTATGCACGATGGGGCTCCGTGTCATAAAGCCAAAAAAGTGACAGAATTTCTTCAGCAGAGCAGAATCAAGACATTGCCGTGGCCAGGAAATAGTCCCGACATGAACCCCATTGAAAATTTGTGGGCTGTTGTAAAGAAAAAGATCAAGAAAAAAACAATTACCACCAAAGTGCAACTCATCGAAAAACTGATACAAATATGGCATCAAGACCAAGACATCAAAAACATTTGTAAAACTCTGGTAGAAAGCATGCCGAGCCGCATTAATATGCTTATTAAAGCCAAGGGGCTCCATACCAAGTATTAATTAGGGTTTTTTTTATATTTACAAACGTTATATCTGTAATATTTTTATAAAAATAAAAAAAAAACGAGAAAAAAATTTTAGTCTAATAATTTGAACACGTCTGTATATATATATATATATATATATATATATATATATATATATATATATATATATATATATATATATATATATATATATATATATATATATATATATATATATATATATATACATATATATATATATATATATATATATATATATATATATATATATATATATATATATATATATATATATATATATATATATATATATATATATATATATATATATATTAGCCCAGCAAACACAAAACATTCGAAAAATGCTCGAAGAACATTGCAAAACATTCGAGCACATTCTATGAACGTTCATAGAACGTTCTTTAATGTTTGCAATTTTCTTTGAATGTTTTGTGTTTGCTGGGACGGTGTCCAACATTTTTGAAAAATGTGTTTAATATGATAAAAAAATTAATGTGTTCAATATGATAAAAAAAACACTGGTTTTAAAAAATTTTTGAATTAAAAAAATTTTTAGGGGTCCCCCAAGACCTAATATATATACATATTCATGTGTGTGTGTGCACTATATAAATATTATATATTTATTCTTTATGGTCTGCTAAATATCACTGATTATATCATACTGAAACAACTAAAGAAGATTCAGTATTTAGGCATGTTGGCAAGATCTAAAATCATTTTTAAACCTTGACTTGTGGATTAATAAATTTTATTAATTGCTTTGTGGTTTTTTAATTAGTAATCATGTAAAGAACACCTTTTTATTTTTTGATAAATTAATATTTTATTAATATAATAAATAGAGAAAATAATTTTTTCTGAAATAAATGGATCTTATAAATGCCCAAATGATCTATGTAATGAACCTGCTATTTCAGTATGAGATCATAAGTGACTTGAAAACATTTGGAGACAAATGCATGATCGTGTTGATAGAACAAATGATGGAATCAGGAAGGAGGTAGAGTGATAATTATTAGCAGTAAATAACTGATTTTAACCCAACCACTGCAAGTGGGTTAGGTTGAAATTAACAAGCCTCAATCTGTCACAGAAGAGAGCTCATATTCAAGACCAGCTCTTGTTATATGTGATTAAAAAATATTGACTTTTTGTCAAGACTGGAGTTAAAGTTGAATCATCAGCAAATGACTCATTAAGACTGGAGTTAAAGTTGCATCATTAGCAAATATATATATATATATATATATATATATATATATATATATATATATATATATATATATATATATATATATATATATTTATGTATGTATGTATGTATGTATGTATGTATGTATGTATGTATATTTGCATGTATGTATGTATGTATATATGTATGTATGTATGTATGTATGTATGTATGTATGTATGTATGTATGTATGTATGTATGTATGTATGTATGTATGTATGTATGTATGTATGTATGTATGTATGTATGTTTGTATGTATGTATGTATGTATGTATGTATGTATGTATGTATGTATGTATGTATGTATGTATGTATGTATGTATGTATGTATGTATGTATGTATGTATGTATGTATGTATGTATATGTATATGTTATTACCTCCAGTGCCAAGAACTTTAAGAAGCTCGAAATCTTCTATTGAAACTTTTCCATGACTTGCATCTAACATGGCTTTAGTAAATAAATAAAGACAAATGCTTTAAAGTTAAATTTTATTTTTTATCATAATATTATTACATATTATTGAGCAATTCTTTATCGATTTTTAAAATTAAAAGAAAAACAAATACATGTTAGATATATTACTAAAAGTATACCATTTTTGATTTGATAACGTTTATCCCTTCGCAACATTTCAACTTAATAATAAATAAACTTTAATAATACACATATGGTTGCAAATGATGAGCTATAAAAGCTAAAACATTATTTGAGTCTTCATTTATAAACTTTCCGAAATACTGCACAGACTTAATCCCGGCAGTATTTATTTCTTAATTTAGATCTTTTCATGGAATTTAATTTATCAAATTTTTTTTTTTTTATTGTCTTTTCAAAAACGCATGCGTCTGCGTTTTTTTTAAGATAAAATTTTTTTTAATAAATACTTCTATGAACTATTTAAACATAGGTATGTTGATAAGGGTTTTAGGTTTATATATGATTTAAAAGCGGGGGAAAGATCCGAGTGGATGGTGTCAGGCCCGTAAAAACAAAAAATCAGGCCAAGTGGATTAACCCTTCAATTTTCGGTTTTTATTATTGTGTTTCTGCTTTAACAAGACTATTTTTATTATTAACCCATCAACAACATAGATTATTGTTAAAAATTATTTTTATCATTATTTTTTTTATTAAGTATAATTTATAATTAATTAAAAAACTGCCTCCTGAATAATTTCAAAAATTGAGGTTAGTCCGCTTCGCCTTAACACCATCCAAGTATTCATTGATACTTAACAAAATGCGCTTTCACATCATTTCAAATGGATAGTGTGTTTTTACAATATAACAGGTTTGGTTAGGGCCGATCCTAGGCTCTAACCAGACCTGTCATATTTGTGCAAAAAATACGCTTTCACGACATTTTAAATGAATAGTGTGTTTTTACAATATATACAGGTTTGTTTAGGCTCGGTCCTGAGACCCCGTTGCCTCCTAAATTTGAGGCCCTGTAATAATATGTTACATTGTCAGACTTTTTTTTTGTTTGACGTTTTTTAATTTGAAAATTTATTATTAATTCAGTTGTATAACTTTTATTATAAATATTTAAATAAAATAATGAAAAAAATCTTTTTTTTTTTTTTTTTATATTTGTCGTAAAATAATAAATATATTTTACAAAAACAAACAAACAAGGCTTCCTAATGACAATTATAATGATCGTCAGACTCTCTTATTTCTAAACGAAGATTATAATGATCTCATTATTAGAATCTTTACCGAGTAAAAAATCAAAATGCGTAAGAAAATATAAAATTACAATAAATCGTATTATAGAACTGAAGAAAATTATATATAATATTGAGTTTCCAAAAATTTAATATTATATATAAAATTAAATTTCAAAATATAAAAGTAAATTTCAAAATATAAAATTAAATTTCAAAATATAAAATTAAATTTCAAAATATAAAATTAAATTTCAAAATATAAAATTAAATTTCAAAATATAAAATTAAATTTCAAAATATAAAATTAAATTTCAAAAAATTTAAAAAGATGAGAACAAAGTTGGGGTGCATTTTAAATCAATATCAACTAATAATGTTACCAATAGCAAGAATGAAACTTTTTAGTTTATTTTTAAAAGCAGGAAAACGAACAGAAGAATCAAAATTGGGCAACAACTATTTATTTTTTTTTTTTTTGAAGGTAAGGTGAGCAATAGATATAAAATTGTTTAAACTTTGTTCTACTGATGAGCGATGATAAAAAAATCTAGACGAATAAAAGAGTAAAAAAGATAATTCAGAAACGAAAATGTGATCCTTACGACGATGGGGCAGTGGCTTAAGAATGGTGGGTAGAATAGGTCTAACTACATTTTAGACCTCGTCTAGAAGAAAAAAAGCATCATTGAAAGCCCAAATACATTATTAAAAGCCTACGACAGCGTTCCATACAGAGACGAATAAGAAATTTGTCAAGGTAAAGAATGGAATAAGGTGTAATGGCAAGTATTAATAAAAAGAGATTACCCAAATGTTATTTTACACAATACGCAAATTGTGGTTACTTCCTTATTCCGTTTAACGATTAAAAAGAACCATTAGTTATTCAACGGTTTACCAATTAGTGTAAATAAAGTAAATATTTTATAATTATTATATATTTTATGTTGAATTAAAAGTCAATTAACTTTATGTAAACGGTTAAAAAAGATTTTTAAATATAGTAATAATTCGCAAATGGTATTATTTTTTGATCGCCATCAGATCAAATCAGATCAGATCATAAAGAGAAACAATCTTAGCAGATAACATTGCAATGAACAGAATGTTTATATGGCTTCCATGTAAGGTCAGTAGTGAGAATACCAAATTTACAATTCAAAATGTCAAGACCAATTTTATCTTTGCCACACTGCCTCCTTTAATGCACAGTAGAAACTTTTATTTACAGCAATAAGTAAATAAGCTTGATAGAAAATCACCCTAAATTATATAACAATAATAATAATTATTATTATTATTTTTATTTTTTGTTGATTAAGAAGTAAAAATTAATAAACAGGTTGGGAGAGATGATCTTAATAAACTTTGAGCAGGTGTGAAAAATTTCTGAAAATTAATACACGCTCCTTCTTTGATGAACGAAGTGAGCTTCACGCGGCAATACGGACTAACAAAAAAAAAACATAATTTTTACATTACTGTTATTATTAAAAAAATTTACGCGAAAAAGACGTTCAAAAGACGTTTGGAATTTAAATGGGACGGACAGACGCTAATTGAAAGTCCAAAGGACGTCTTTTTTACGTCCCGTGCCTACTGGGTGCCTAAATGCCCAATATTAATTTTTACTGTTGAGATAAAAATAAAAGATAAAAAACTGTGTTGATTTTAAGAGATAATGTTATTAGACTCAAAATAAGATGTTATAAATTTGATGATTAAAGATATTGCTAGTAATAGGGAGAAGATTGGTCAGACAATAATTGGACAGAAACCATGGATACCATTTTCCAGTAAGCAGGAAAACAAGATTTAGTAAAGCACTTGTTAAATAGTTTAGATAGAATTGAAGTGAATTCTGGAGAACGCTTTTGTAAAACTATGGCAAGAATTTAAGAACATACTAAAGGAAAACAAAAAAAAACTGAACACAGGCTAGTGTCAACTAAATTAAAGAGTGATGGTAAGTGATTAGAGTTGTTGTAAAAGATAGATTGAAACATGGTTTTTATGTTTAATATTTTTGATTACTTTGGTCATGTTTTAAGTTAAGGAACTTAAATCAATTAAAGATTGAGCATGGCACTCAAAACAAAGATCTATGCAATTGCTTCATTCCTGCCAATAAACCCAAAAAACGAATGGTTTTTTAAAGCCTTGACAATGCACACCAAAATCACTAACAGGAATACTACCAATTTGCAAAAGAGCGCTGTTAATACTCTGATGTTTTACAGCTGATGGAATCAACTTCTAATAGTTTCCGCAGAGTATACAATAACCTTACCATCAGCCAGCTTTAGAACCATTAAACTAAGTTTTAGAGTTTTGCCCTCATTAAAAGTTAACATGAGGAATTGCATAGTCATTATCAAGGAGGCACAATCAAAAATCTACAAGTAGGCTTAGGAAGATCCAGCATTTCATCATTCTTGACAGGAAACAATGTAACATTTACACCAACTTAATAGATGAAGGAGGAGCGTAAGATCAACAGACTTTTTTTGTTTACCCCTAAAATCTTTGCCTAGGTGACATTCTACAGACAGGCCACCTATACCTGTCTTGTTCTCATAAGAAGGTAAAAGGTTCTATAAGATCGGTATTTTTATAGAGACACTATCTCTAGTCTACTCATCCAAGAGTCCCAAAGCAGGTGTATTTTAAGTCAGCGTTTATATCTCCTGATCTTTTCCAAGAAAAGCAAGTCCTATAAGGCAACAGGACTTGGTGCAGGTAGTACTAGATTACATTTTACTAGTAGCAGTATGGTCGTGATGACCCTAAATCAAATCTGACCTGGTACAGTTAAAAGAAGTAACTTCTATAACCAGCACTTTAAAACAATCAACTGGAGATTTTGGAAATGAATTAGAAAAATATTATATCATACATCATTATGTATAAAGAAATACTAGAAATTAGTGGTGCATGGAAATTAGTAACTTAGGGATAAGCTAACACAGCACCAGAGGTTCACATAAAACACATACATACATCACTTACAGGTGAGCAAACAACAGTTTTTATTTTTTATAACATTTTTCATAGTTTTTTATTACAGTTTTATCAGTAGAGATTTTTTATTTAGTAGAAAGTATTCTTTTAACATTATCTATTTATTTTTGTTAGTATTTAATGTTAACTACTTACATTTGAACCAACTAGATATGTGTTTAAATTCTATAAATGTAGTTGAAATAAGTTTGTAAATGCCCGTATGGGATTGAAAAAGTTGGTGTTATCTTTAAACATTATACTCATCAGGTTAGATGCTCTGTTTAGGTTGTTTAATAAGTAAGAAATTAAACAGCTTTCAAACCATTTTAAAACTTTACTGTTTATACCGTGGTGTTTATTTTTTTGTATTAAAATATTAAGATCAACCAAATCAAATGTTTTTGATAGGTCAATAAAAATATCTAATGTGTTTTGAGATTTATCGAAGGATTAAAAGATTTTAATTTAAAATTGAATTGAATAACATACTCAGTTGAATTACCTTTTTTGAAACCGATGTGATTGTAATTAAGATAATTATAAACTTTTTTTCTATTTTTAATATAAATATTTTACAAGCGTTACAGTTATAAACAGTTATAGTTTAAATAGCAGTATACTTTTAAAATATAAACAGTTGTAAAATATACAAACAGAATGTATCAGGCTAATAACTTGAGCAGAACTGAAAGCATTTAATTTTTAGAGCAATTCTTCTAAATGTGTTTGCATTTAAATGAAGAAAGCACCGTAAGTTATTTCTTCCACAACTTGATAAACTTTGACCGTTACGCAGGTGTTCCAGTTGTGGCGCACTGGTTAGAGTTTCGGTTCAGAACCAAAAGGTCCAAGCTTCAATGTCGGTTCTTGTCAAATAAGAAACATTGGTGAGAACTTCCTAGTTAAATACTCTTCCATGATGCTCTTTGATAATCCCATGATGCTCTATGATAATCCCATGATGTTCTGTGATGACCCCGTTTCCATGATGCTCTGTGATAATCCCGTTTGATGCTCTGTGATAGTCCCGTTTGATGCTCTGTGATAATCCCGTTTGATGCTCTGTGATAATCCCGTTTGATGCTCTGTGATAATCCCGTTTGGTATTCT